ATAGAGTTAGGTAGTTCATACACATTGTTTATATGCACTTAACCATCAAGATAGGATTCGAATGATAGCAGGTTCGTATTAAGGAACATCAATAGATATCCGTTATAGTAATGTAATAGTAAAACACACTTCTACGTTAAGCTGTCGGCTTGCTTTGCTCGTTTGTTTAGGCTCATCGTTTCTTTTTTCAACATGCTCGATATTTTTTTTACTGGATTGTTAGTAGATAAGTTTGTTGCAGCTGTTGGTATATTCGTCCATCGGCCCCTGTTTCTTCATAATAGTAGATAATCATACGTCCATGTATGCTGCTGTTGCACTATTGGCTTGTCTTTATAACACTCGGTGGTCAATAACGTCAATAGAGATATCACAGGCGAGAGGTGGTTGAGTCCAAGAAAGTTGGCTTCGCGGCATGTGTCCACACGCGTAAGAACGCTATGACCATCGTCTGTCTGTCGAGGGCATCGTTTGCGCACTTGAATCAAGAGAGATTCCGTGTCCGTCTGTAATGACATCCGTTTTCCTTCTTGCCCCGTTGCCGAACTTTTCTTAAATGGACCTTGGAAGTATCGGTCGAGGTGTATCCCTCGGTAACCGTTTGGCTTCCATCGTTTTAAGGATTACAAGGCCGTGCTGATTCTTGGTATATGGCGAGGGTAAAGTCTTTGTTGTAGCTGTTCATTCTTAAAGATAGAGATCTAGCGATGCAGTGGCATCGTTACGGCTTATGAAGTTCACGAGGCCAGCATCGTCAACCGAGGATAGAAGCGTTACAGAGCCGAAGTTCAAGCTCATCGACTTAACGAAGCGATCTGTCAAACTTACTCGGATCAATGTATTGGCCAGCGCAGCGATGTAGAAACACGTTAGGTGTTGCAAGCACGGCTGCCAACGCGGAGAAACATTCAGCACTGCTCATTCACTATGGCGTCCGTTTTCGCTGCTGCTTTAGGACCAAATTGGTGTGACAATTGATGTCAAACATTTCCTAATCCGCTATACGAGACGAGCGGATAATGGGAAGCTTGGAAAGGCAACAGTCAGTCATTGCAGCTCCTCCGAGAAGAGGTGTAATCAATTCCGCGATAACTCACTTAATACCATTATCGAATCGACGGGGGATGGCGCATTTCCAGATCTCCGTTGCGATAATCTGATACCCCGAAATAGCATCTATTATAGCTTCCTACGATACTTTTGCGGCTTTCGCAGTACGTATGTTAAAATACTGTAGATATATGCATGTATATATCTACAATACCATATATTTATTTCTTCCTAAATATTAGACCTTATAACAGCTCAGGAATTGTAAAGGCTAACACAGTTAATTAACGTCGTTACCATAAAATGGCGGTTTTTCACTCGCAGGGGTGGAGGTGGAGGGCTAGTTAAAAAGTAAATAACATTTCCGTTTTGTCAACCCCGCTTAGCCTATCAAAACTGAACAAGTTGTTAACGAGCAACATAATGCCTCCTTTTGCTGACACTAATCATGCTGACTAAATTAAAATCAGTCGATTTCATTATTTCTGCGATAAATAGTAACGCCGTAGACGCTGAATGGCGTCCGGCTGTACATGTTTAAATCACTAGAAGGGCGAAGATCGAGTATTCGACTAATCAGTTCCTCGCGGGAGGCAACACGACGCGTTTGACGAGCATACCCTTCGACCATATGTCGGCGTCAATCTTTAGTTACCCTTCTAATAAAGCAGTCACGACTCTAAGTAATGGAGATAAAGGCAGTTTGAAAGGCCTACAAGATGCCTTTATTCTACGCTGTTCGGACAACCGCGTCAGTATATGCACCATGTTAGAAAAACACAGACTTTTAGACCGAATAAAGCTCGCGATCTTTCCTACTGGTGCGAGGCATAGAAATCTCGCTAAGCTTAAATCGTAAGCTAACAGCTCTTCTATCAGCATCTCGATAGCTTGCCGCCAGCGTCTTCAGTACACCTAGTATTTCCCTATATCCACACTGTCGCTTGATTGTAGTGCGCTAACAATTTTTTTTAGGACTAGCCGCACGATGCCTATGATAATTATCTGTATTTCGATTATAACAGGATATCGTAGGTTTACTGATACCTTAAGACATTATTGCTGCCGCTATCGTTCTTTACTGTCGCCTCAGCTGTAGTACTAGAAGGAGTGGGCCAAACAATGTCCTATGTTACATCAGCGTTAGCTTTCGATCGAATTCTCTGCTCTCGTTCTGCCATAGAAAAACAGGGAAACAATTTTGCTATGTATCATCCTCTTACCACGCCGGAGATCTGGATTTGACAGACTGTGTCATATTATCTGGTCTTGGTTTGCTTCTCTTCTTCTTATAGACCCGACCCCTTCACCTTCTAGTTAGAATCTCGTTAGCAGGTCATCAATCGGATGATCATTAACAGCATAAGGTGACCTTGGCGGCGATCAGCTAACCCATGTAGGTTGAGGGCCAATGACAATTCACTGACCAATTTCTGTGACTTAACTAGATCCTTCTCATTTTGCTCCTATGTCTGAGTGACTTGATTGTAGACTAGGAGAAATTAACATAACAGTCTAGTCGAGGTTACTGATAGCCACGGTAGTGAAGTATCCTTGGTAGTAGTTGCTAACAGATAGAGCGGCTAATTTTTTTTTGCTGGCAGCTATATGCAATAAAAATTGGGAGAGCACGTGATCGCTTTCTACGATGTGGTCATGAGTTAGGTTAAAGAGGGCGCCTGAGCGAACGAGAGAAGAAGATTGATAGATATATGGGAGTTAGGTTGAATCATTAAGCGACGGAGGTGTTTGCCTTGTTGCTTCGTCTTTTCTTATTTTTAGCCCTTGGCTCTATCATATTGGCATCTTTTTTTCGATTAGCATTTCATACGCAAATGACACGCGCGCTACGAAAAGCCACGAGATCGATGTTTAAGTTAATTCGTGATGAGACCGACAAGGGTACGCGGGCCTACCCGTATCGATATGACTTGAAAGGTTTGCCTAGTCGCACGTTAACAACGCCGTATTGAACGGGTACGCCTCGGTTGTTACCAACTAGTGTACAGGGTTTCACTGTTGCACTGAGCTCGACCTCCTGGAAGGCCAACATTCAAGTGACAAGCGGGTCGGCCAGGCCAGCAGCCTATTTTTTGCCAGTAAAGGATATCACTTCGCAAGCGGCACCTATTACCAAAGTCTTAAAATCAACTAATTGAAGGTTTAATTCTCTGATTCAGCTGTTGCTTCTGGTGTTTAATGGGTTCGACTGTTTTGATTGTATTGTTACTGCTGAGTGGCGTTCACAAAATTACTATTCCACAACATTATATAGTTTTTGGCGTTTACTTTATGTATATATATATATATATATATATATACGTGTTCCATAATTCCAGTCTGGCATCAGCAACAAATTTTTGTCAACACTTTTATACTGTTATTACTATTATTGTATGTCATTTTTGAGTGTTTCTACCAATCCCGATCTCGACAGACCTATATTACATATGTGTCATATTGGTACATTTACCAGTAGCTACTAGTATTTAATGAATCAGTTATATCGAATGAATAGCAATGGTGAGCAGAACGTGTTCCTTGTTTTGTTTGTTTTCGTGATTTTCCAATTCGTTCTTCCGGATGATTCATGTTCACTCGTATCGTTCATTTGCTTAGGTTATATTGTCAGTGTTATACCTTTTGGCTGCCTTGCGGTTCGCCTGCTTAGGCGCACATATATTTACCTTGATTTTCCCACCGGGGAATTCGACCCCTCCTAAACTTCGTTCGTGGCAAAGATGAACAGCAGGACGACTGGCGAAAGTTCTCTCGTCGTCAAGGCCTCGCAACGACCTCGAACCGACGCGTTACCAGTGTCTTGACTATGGCAAGTAACAGTGGAAGCTGCAGAGTAGTCTGAGCTTGGTCGACTGCCAACGGTTATGGTTGATAGAATGAGAAGATAGGTCGGTGAGCGGTCTATATATGCTGAATGTACTCAGGGTTGAGGAAGGAAAATCCTTGAAATTCGGTCTGATCAAGATTCATCATAAAAAGCTTATCCGTCGGCGTGAGATCAACTTTCTCACTTGTGAACTGTTTGTCGAAGTTGGACACATCCTTGCGATGTTTCTGGAAGATCAAACCGAGTACGAAAGCGTAGAAAAGCGCAAATAGCGATGACGAGAAGAGATACACGGGAACAAGGCGAAGATGAACGCGCACAGATACGAAATTGCAGGTTAGCAACGCGTTACGATACAATGTATTGATAATTTCAGATTTTAAGTTAATTATTATCTTCATATATATATATAAGACCACTTACTGTATTCGCACGTGACCCTAGTTTTCATGCTTTGTCAGTATATGTGTCATAACATGTGTATATAAATCATCATAAATGCCTAAATACTATACCGTCGAAAATTACACCTTTAAGAATAACATACTCATACCTCGTTGACTCTCTTTAACGTATAATTTTAATTGCTTTACTAATTTACGTACGTAATAGTGTCTTAGTGTGAAGTATTAGCAAGAAAAGTCTGGAGTTTGCATCCTATAATAAATTGAACAAAAGTCTAAAATTCAGTGAGTTACCATAACTTTAACGTGATGGTCGCTGCAGGACTGGTACGTCACCAGCATTGCTGCCGTTATCTCTACAAGTGTATTGCATATAAACACTGATGCTCTACACACTTTTTCGCGCATGCCCAGTTAGAAATAGGCTCCTTTCCAACGAAAGCATCAGTTTCTACATCAGGACACGACAGCTAGCGTATCATTCTGCACTAAATCTAAATGCATCTGGCGATACGCTTCTAATCCTTCCTACAAATATTATAATACTTTGGATAATGTGAAACAGACGCAGGCAGCCATGACAAATGCTGGAACTACGATACGACAACAAACTACGGCGCCAGTGAAACATCTAAGGCATACATGTATAGCATACAACAGGACAGGACATGTCCGCTTGTTTATGTCGACCATTTTTTATTTGTATATGCTCGCCATAATAACAATCGTGTCATTTTTATGCTTTGTTCAACCATATTATGTCTGATTGTACGTAAGCAAATGTTACTTACAATCGGTCATATGATGCCTTCGCTATATGCCAGTTCTGTTATAGATAGAGAAAACTATAAAAGGCCATTGGATAAAAGCAAACTCAAAGGAGAGAAGGAAATTTTCGGTAGGGTGTATATAAGTCAACAGTAGATATAAATGTATCAACCATTGGGTAGTGATAATATCATATTCGTAGTGTAACAATATTGTTTTCAATACGATCAACGTGAGGCGCACATCTTCATCTCGAAGGGAAGAACGATAGACCAGTCGACACCGTAACCATTATTGTGTGCCTGCTTCATGATTATCTAATTGTTAGCTTTCCTCTGTCCTATTTCCTGCATGTCGTCTAGCGGCCTGTATCAGAGAATAGTAGTTATATGTATACTAATAAGAGACATTCCGGAACTTATATATATATATAAGTCCTGTTTTCGTCCACTCTATGGAAAATCAAACGTAACTGCTAATGAACAGAAAGTGACTGGACGCTAATGGCTACGGTGGTAAAGTTAAGATCTAATTTGAAGTTGGTCATCGCTGTAACTGCTGGTTGTTCTTGTCTGAGCTATTCAAGTCATAGACGTTCATTCTTATCGTATTGTCAACTTTCGTTAGCGGAATCTCCTTGATCTAGTAGCAATAGTTTCCTTGATAATAATGTTATCAGCCTCCAATGTAATGTAAGCAAAAGATATATGTACGCTGTGTCCGAGGAGCCAGTACCTCGTCGATCAGTCAACTATCCTATGCTCACTCAGTATTCGTACGGACGATGACCTGACCACAAACGCAAATAAAAGATTATCTTAAATATCGATCGACAAGAGCTTGCCTAGTTTCGAAGGAAAATTAGCGAAGAAAGATTTAATGTGATCACGTTTATAACGTCACGTACTGATCAGGGGACACTCAAAACATAGGAGATAATTATTATAAATAAACATCATTATAACAGTACGAACAATCATATGTTTCCTCGCAGAGCTTAGTTTGTTACTAGGTTAGCAATGTTCTTTAATGCCTATCCTCCATCCATTTAGGGAACTTCCAGGAAACACTTTTCAGTCCGTTTTGTCAGGCGACGTGCACGCAGGACTACTAGGTTTGGCATAGCCATTTGCGATAGCAAGACACGAGGGGGCTCAATCAAGACAAGTGGAATGGGCTATAAACGCAAACATTTCCAGTTATTCTGTTATTTGGTACAATTTCACTACTAGCAAGCAAAGTTCTTCATAAAGCTACATTATGTCAACCATATAAGCTAGCATCAGCAACAGGCCTAAGTGTCCTTGAAGCCGTGCGGCCAATCTTGTGCTTCTTACTATATCGGCTCGTGCCGCGTTCAAGCGATAGAGATCACCCTGTGAACACGGAGAAACTCAGATGCGAGGCAAGAGGCGCGGTCGGGCTCATCGACTACAATTCAAATTTTCCTTACGAATTCGTCTTATCGTTTTAGCAGCCGACGCACGTTTCGTAATCGTAATGACGCAGCTCATCTCTTTGTAGGCGTATTTTTTATTTTTGTTCAGTTGTACAGCGAGCATTGTCGGACACTACGCAATAGGAACGGCCTGATGTACGGAAAGTTTACACACGAACATTTAACAATCAGATACCGTAAATGAACACGAAGTCATTTTCTGGCGAGCTATGGGTAGTAAGATGCCTGGGGCACAGGCCCATTTTGATGCTTCCTTTACTTTATTTCTCGAGCGTTCTAATGAATCTTGAGGCTAAACGTCACACAAAAAACATTAGGCAAATTCAGATTGTTGGACACCGTAACTGGGGAGTATTTCTTACAACGCTAGTTTAAGGCAGCCCTAGTTGAATGATGGGCTTTACGCTTATTTTCTTTAATATAGAATTTTTTTTTGGATAACTATCATATCTTTAGTGAAATTCTCTTGAATTGGATACTACGCACGCACATATACGCAGACATATGTTATACCACAATGTATATGGACTGAAATCTCAGAAATCTTTCTATGAGGATTCTATCTCGGCACAGTCATAGTCAATGAGATGCTGCTCTGCCTAAACGTGAAAAGCTATTATAAACGATATATTACTCATCCTCTCCAATGACTCATCCTTTGAAAAAAAGACACAGTTCCAACAAAGTAACATTCTCATTGTGACAGGCGTCATCGTCATAATAGTAATGATCATTGTTGATAATCAGGCTTGTATTGGCTGATAATCTGATCTTTGCGATAATCAGTATGGTTATTTTTTTAGGAGCACCTAGAGCAATGGCTCGCGCAACCATACCTCGAAAAGCGAATCTAGTTCGTATAGATGAACTACCTGACCGAGTCGTCTCCTAGGTTGATTTTGCCCAATTTAAATTTAATACAGTATCGTATTGTTAGTGGGGCACTTCACCAGTGAAGTTTGTTTACGAACATATATTCCTTTTCATCTCTCTACTCTTATCTGCATATAAATTTAACGGTAAACTGCTTAGCCTGTCTCTTGTGGTGTGATCCTTCATCAAGGATCGAGTAACTGTGGCCGTTCAGAACTGCGACCGATCGTTGGTGACGCGGTATGTTTGGCATCCGATGTCGACTACACATTAGAGATCTAAAGCGGATGCCTCTTTCGAAGATTCAAGTTATTTACTTTGGCTTATATCAGGTATGTATGAGTTTTGCCTTTGTTACGGCTCCGTACTGTACAAGAGGTTCATTAAGTGGATTTGCCAATCTGTCATCATTAGACCATTAGGTTTGCGACGATAGAACATCTATGTTCAGAAGGATTATTTGCTCATCAAGAGCCTTCAAAAGCTTCTACGACGTACGAGCCTTAAGTGGTATTGGTAGTTTCGTATAGATGTGAACATTAATCTCTGACGGAAAAACTTTGCGACCCTTTACGGATAAGATGTCTAACGTATTCTGTGGGTTTGAGTAAAATCGGATGTTCAGCGGGAACCGCCCGTCTGTATGTTTTAGACAGTGACGTATATATCCACAAATATTCTTAATCCTCATTCAGATCTATATGTGGGTTCGAAACGAATCTGGATCTTGACCAGGTCTGATTTGCTAGTTCTGTCTGCTTCCTTCTTCTCTTCATAGTCGCTATCGCCGACAAGGCAGATTCATTGTTGGTAGTAGAAAGAGGGTTATGAAATCTAGTCGAGCAATGTTCGATCGGAGATCCTAATTTGACTCTTTAAACTTACAGGCAAATTCTTGCTGCAGAAATGTACAATGGTTATTTGTTTGAAGCGGTTGTAGTAAGCCGATCTTGTATTAACTCGGGTTCGCGCAAGTAAGCCGCCTTTTCCTGGCTTAGCAATCGTTCCCTGTCCTCATTGCCGGTGCGCTACGCCGTACGAAGTCTATTTGAGATAGACCGAGGCGCCATCATAAAACGGATTAACAAAATCGAACCCTTCAAAGCCGAGTCCCTGAGCCGCCTTCATCACCTGTTTGTTCACACAGGACAATTTGACATCGGCCTTGCGGAAATGCTCGTCGAAGTTCTCGGCCTTTCGTGGGTCGGTCTGCAAGAAGGCGCAATAAGCAAGACATAAAAGGCGAGATGCCTCGACTTTCAGCGACAACTTCGACTTGGGCGTGCTGTCATATAGGGCCGACACCGTTGTGATTGTTTTGTGAGGTAGAAAATGTTGTGGTGATGATCGAGCTCGTCGCTGTAAAAGCTTACTGCAACGGAAAGAAAATCTCGACCCAACTCGATTGATCACTTGTTCACCAAGGTACATATGCAGGCATACATACATCGAATTTCCTACGTGGGCCGTGATCACCGGACTCAACACATGGGTACCTCGATGATGATGCCCAGGAAGTACCGGAGAACACCGCGATACAAGCTCGTCTGCTAGTCAAAGTAAAATGTATAGTGGCTAGAGAAAATATGATGCGCCGTAGAAGAAGATACAACAGCTGAGATAACTGCAAACTACCAGACTTGTCATAAACTCAACGCGCAGGTGCGAAAGAATACCTCCATGGAAACTGGCACAGCTGTATCAGCTTTACGAAAATCGATGAAAACTGTAGAAAAGGCTTTTTTGTAAAAATTCTCATCGACAAGACGCAGGCTCACGTAAGGATCAACTTGTTAAGAGGATAACTGAGAATGCCCCACACGCAATGGAACAGTATGAAATGATCAAACACCCGATGTTTCTCTCATAGTACCAAAAGACTCATAATAATTGGGAAATTTCGATGTACTTATTTCAAGTTGCTTGTTTAATTTGGCAGTGTTTAGTATGTCAATTGACTAAAACGACTCTAATCGAACGAACTTTAACGGTATGTATTATAGAATTGTCATAGTTAGCGTTTTCCATTTTTTTCTCACCACGTATTGAAAGAGAGTTGTTTTTTAGCGCATACGGGAACTTTAATATTTTTGCGATAACTTAGCTCAGAAGATAGTTCTAGGCCGTATTTATGGTAATATCGCTAAGGGCAACTTTGTCAGCGGGAAAGTACGAAAACAACGATCTAAGAAATGTATGGATTAACAGTGGCGTTCATAATACTCACAAAACATTTCTTAATGAACGTAAACAAATTCAACAATTATCTTTTCAGCTCTGTATAACTTCGGTATGGCAACTCCAAGCGGCTAAGTTTCTACTACGCAGAATAACTTCGTAGTGAAAAGTTACATGTTCTTCGCATACACAGAAAAATTGCATTAGAAAACGTTTCTTCTCACATATTGGAATATTGTCTAGAAAAATCTATACGCAATAGCGGAAATAAAACAGCTAGTTCCAAACAACCGATATTTTTGTACTATATACGACTGGTTGAAAAAAACACAACTTTGTACCTTAAAATAATGTACGATCAATTGTAATTTTATTTAGAATAGTACACAAAACAAAAAAAATTGAGAGTTCTGCACGTTATAGCCTGCCCCGAAATACTATCATAGTCATCAGCGCTATGGACGTAAGCAAGCCTCCCACATACGACAGCAATAAAAAATAGGCAAAATATTTAAATTAAAAGTTTAATAAAGCTGATCGTTAAATTAAGACAAAAACAATCCTGGGTATATGAAAACGAAAATTGATCAAGCGTAGAACGACTGCTATAAGCAATGTTTTTGGCAAAAAACACAAAACTTTGACAGGATCCACGGCCTAGCTAAAAAAACTCAGCCGACAGCTAGCAAGCAAAGCAGAACCCGAGCTCAATCAACAAACGATAAACACGTAAACGTTCAAAAATTAGCGAGCCTTCTTCTATTTGATCTGATTCTCTCTTCAGACACTACTAATACAAGTAATCTCCGAGCAGCGTAAGGAACCGCAGCTTTGGGTCTCAAAGGCCTATGATGACCAGCATCGTTGGCAGAACTGTGATTTGTACTGAAAGCCACTCGTAGGGAAGCAGCCCAGGGCCTTTTAGCAATCGGGTCACGGCCAGAACCAGCCATATCTATGTTCCAGCATGTCATAAGCGCAGCATATTTACAATAGTTCCTGTCAGCCTATATATATATATATATATATATAGCTTAAAAAAAATATTGTGATCTTACAACACGTCAGTAAAGGTAAATTATTTAAAGAAAATGACAAAAATCAATTCGTTTTGGAATGCTTAGAACGCTCAAAATTAGACGGACCATTTATGATAGCGGCAAAAAAAAACTCTGCAAAAAAATAGTATGTAAATCTAAAAGTTTGACGACACAAACATTGTGTGCTGCGCGCTGTTCAAAGGGATCCATCGTTTTACTGGCGTGAGAGAGTTAAAGAACCGATGCATGACGATGCGCAGGCCTTTTTTTACGATGGACGTCGCGTACGTATGTGATGCTATTCTTGTATAGAACAAGATATGCAGAAGTTATCGCTCACATGATTCAAACACTCTGACATGCAGAGAACGTGGTGGGAAGAACGCGCTATTTAGTAATGCTTTCGACCATTTTTACAGCGTAAACAAGTTTTCGAAATCATCCACTTGGTAAAATATCAATAACTTTTCTTAGGTTTTTTGAAGCATCTATGAAACAACACGGTAATTACTAGCCATGAGGTGAAAATCAACAAAAGAGGAAAATGATTTTCTTTAAAATTCAGGTCAAGCTGTTTGTATTTGTTTTCGAACAATTAAGAGACACTTCTAAACATTAAAAAAAATAATATCAAGCTAAGGTTTCTGAGGTCGTAAAGTGCCACACAAAAAGGTTTGGCGGAAAGACAGCTAAAAATACCTGATAGAGAAATGATCAGATGTTTGTCGTTGTGCTCGAACTGCAGCTATAGAAACGGCTTATTAAACTGAGCTGCTAAATTTACAGACAAGGTTTAGACATATA